AGGTGCTGGAACAGCTGCCCAGAGAGGCTGTGATGCCCCGTCCATCCTTGGAGGTGTTCAAGGCCAGGTTGGATGGGGCCCTGGGCAGCCTGGGCTGCTGTGAACTGGGGAGGTTGGTGGCCCTGCATTGGTGGGGGGTTGGAGCTTCAGGATCCTTGAGCTCCCTTCCAACCCAACCATTCTGTGATTGTTTTGCTGGAGCAGCCAAACTCTGATCCCACATTTCAGCACTGCAATGCACAGAGCCAGGGCTGGGGGAAGGAGCAGACAGGTGGTCTGGAGCTGAGTGCAAGCAGGGATGATCAGTATTCCTGTGCTGACACACAGGAGCTGTCGGGCCGTAGCTCTGCAAACAGCTTTTGTCTCTGCTTCCTGAAGTGCTGACAGCTTGCCACACTTTCAGGCTTTACTTTCTCTCCCTGCTTCAGTGCACCATTCTGGGAAATTTCCAAACTCTGCACTTCCTGCTTTCAAGGCACAGTGATTTCTCCCTTTCCAAATGATCTGACTTGAGGGATCCAGGGAGAAACGTGTGTCTTTAATGGTGTGAAAGGCAAATCTGAAATCAAGGGGTAACTTTGCATACGCTGCCTGACAGATGGCTCCAACCTTCCTCCCTCTGCTGAGTTTTTCTTGTTATGCTGCAATTGTTCAGCTGCTCAGGGATGCTCATACCTAACTTCCCAGTGTTCTGAGGCTCCATTCATGTTGGCAGAGCTCTGATCTTTGCAGCTGTATGAGAACACGATGTTCCAGCCTTCAGCTGCAGAAAAGAGCACGACAGTGCCTTCCCACAGCAGTAGCATCTGGGAGAATTTGGGTTGCAATGATGGAGAAGTGGTTTGGAGTCTTTTGTCATGGGAGGAGAGGGGCTTCTCGTTGCAGCAGAATCCCTGCTGGCATCACCTTGCTCAGACTGACAGAAGAACCAGTTGCAGATTTCGAGATTCTATATTTCTAAGCCTCTTGGAATTCTAAGCCTCCAATTCTAGATCTGAGCAGTTCTGTCTAAGGAAGCAATTCAGGTTATCATTATTAACTTAAGACACTTCTGTAGGCTGAAACAGTCGTGTTCACAAACCAAAAGCAAAACATGCCAAAAAAGGAGAATTCAGAAACCAAATTTCACCGTGGACCCCTTTCATTCACAGTACAAAGGAGTCAGACACAAAGGTATGTATTTGTCCTTGTTAAGATTCACAGAAGAGATGCTTCCCAACGATGGAAATTTCTCCTTGTCAGGACAGAGCTCACAAAGTCAACTTTCTGGAGGCTTGAGCAGCTGAGGAAGATCAGCCTTGCATTGCCAGGGATGGCTCTGGAATGGACAGAGTGTTCTCCAGCACCTCAGCTCACCTGGGCCCGCAGCTCTTCGAGTTCTGGTCGGGATTTCAGTCGGCTTTTGAAGTCAGTTTCCGTGTGCTGTAAGGAGGAAAAGAAAAAGCACATCAAAAATCACCTTGATCACTTTCCAAATCAAGAGAAAGATAAACCCTCCCTCAAAGTGCATCACTGAAAAGTGAAAGATTGAAACGTCAGCTGAACCAAGGTAGTGGGACTCCTTTGCGGCCCCAGTTCAGCCCTGGAGGCTCCTCCTCACCGCTGCAGTTTGGATGTGAGTATTTCTGATAAAAAATGACACAGGAAACAGAAAACTGGGAGCAAGCCATAGAACCATAAAGCCATGTGTTAAATGCAGCTATCAAACCAAAGTCTTTGAGTGAGAAATTACTTTCTGAAAGACTGAGCATTGGCACTGTGCTCGGGAGGTTGGACAGCCCCAGCTCTGCCACTGCCTGTCAGCTCTGCATCCACGTCCTTACAGAGCCCTGCCACTTCCTCCACAGCTTTGTAGGGCATCCCAGAGCTTTAATCTCTCTCTGTGTTGCCAGCCTTACAGAGCCAGCTCGGGTCTTTCCCCTGGGCACCCTGCATCAGACTGCAATGACTTTGCAAATGGCACAATGTCACACTTCTCCCTCCGGAGACAAAGCTATCAGATGGCAGTCCTAAGACTGCGACCAAAGCAAAGGAGATTACTGGACTCAAGAGACCTCCTCCTATATTCCTTGTGTTTTTGCAGAGCTGGAGATAACTAAATGTTCTACAAAGGCCTTGTAAGAAAACAGCTTTTACATTTGAATTCAGTGTGCTGCCTTCCCTTTCCAGCTGTAAAATCTTTTTAGTCCCTGAATTAAAGAGGTTTCCTGGAACTGTTTTGTCTAAACATAAAACAGCATGAAGTATCTCCTTATGCCTGGTGCAGTAAGAGACCTGTTTAGGGACTGTAATTCTGTCCTGAAGTCCTCAGTGCTGAGAAAACTGTTAGTGGTTTCTGCAGAAACAAGCAGAACCCTTCCCAGAGCAAATCCCATCAGAACAGAACGCAGTATTTGGTTTTCTAGTCCCAGCTTTGCTACCAACTCCATGAAATTCCTGGTGACTCCCAGGTAAGAGGTTGTAAGGCACTGTCAAAGAAGAGTATTCCCTTCTGAGTCGCAGGGAATCCACAGGAGCAGAGGAAAGCAACTTGCCATCTACAGATTTATGGGCCTGGCTGGGCAGATACCCTCTGTGGCACTAATTATAAAAGGATGAGTGGGAAATAAAACTCCCATCAAGTATTAAAAGGAATGGTGTTTGACAGACCAAGCAAGAGCCTGGTTCTGGGAGATGCTGGGTGTCCATAGCTCTAGAGCAGACACTGGCAGCCTCAGGACCAGGTCCCTGTGCTTTTCAAAGCAAATTCACATCATGCATCATACCTGCCTTCTAAATGCAAACACACGGGTAAAATTAAGCATACCTCTTTCATTAACAGATGGACCCCTTCAGGCTGATTGCTCTGAATAATTTCCAAGAATATTGGAGCAAACGTTGAGCTCAATCTGCTGATCTGAAAGAAGAAAGAAAGTGCTTCAGGAGCAGAACAAATGCAAAACAGACTTGTTTTACTAACGGCACAGAGAAAGAATCCATTTCAGTATGAGCCCAGGGCACCCAACTCCCTCATTAGAGAAGCACTCAGCTTTGTGTGCACACCTCATGTGCAGCACAGTCCAAAGCTGTTGGTTTGGTTCTCTTTCATTTAGGTGAGACTCTACACAAAAGCTGTCATGGCAAACTTGCAAGCCCTGGTGTTAACCTTGCACCAAATCTCCCTAGAAAAACAGTCTGTGTTAAGGTTTAGAATAATTCAGCAGATACTCAGCATGCAGCAGAGGAACATGCTACATGTATGCAGTAGTGAAATGTCACTTACGAGAAACACCTACTTAACTAGCTGTACAATTGAAACTGGCTGATACTGAGAGTATTTCCACATTTCATGGAGTTTGTTCAATTGTTCATCCTCAAACGTGACATTTCTACTCTTTGTATTCTGCAGAACACAGACAATAAACTGGGTGAAATAGAATCACGGAATGACAGCATGGCCTGGGTTGCAAAGGAGCACAGCGCTCATCCAGCTCCAAGCCC